CGATTTCTGACATCGTGAACTCGTAGGTAGGATCCCGAAGCCGAAACTGGAATTCTCCAAAGATGGGAACTGCAGAGACCACTCTCTTGTATGATGTCTTGGTGGCTCGGTCCTCCAGGACGACCTCAAAGGGCCCGTGGAAGGTAAGACTGCTGTTGGCCTTGGTCTGGGAGTCGATGAGTGGGAGAACAACCACAAGTGGCTGCTTTGGGTTGAGTTTAACAAACTCAGACAAGTATGGCTTGGTAGCAAGGACCACTCCTTTGGTAGAGGAAGTGGTTTGCAGCCTGTGGTACTGCATGAGTTGATCCCCTTTATTGTCCTGGAAGGGATGTTGGTCTTCAAGTTTCAAGTCTTCCCATCGCGAGGAGGCAGCAATCGATTTGGCCCAAGGATCATGTGTCATCAGGGGATCTGCAGCATCGGTCGAACTCTTGGGTTTGGCTGCTGCTTTGGCATCACCCGCACCTCCTGGAGCTTGTTGGTCAGGGAATCGACCTTGCAAGACTTGCAAAATGTGCCAAGGCAAAAGACGCATGGCAAAGAAGGCAGCTTGATGCATATTGGGTTGCTGCCAGGCGGTCGTGGCGTTGGTCAATACCCTTTGAACGTCAAGGTGATGAAGGCTGCGAAGGAAGGAGGCCTCTTGGAGCGGGCCAGGGTAGTGAACGTGGAGGCCCACTTTTTCAAAGCACAGCCAAAGCAAAGTCCATCCACACAAGTTGGGATGAGCTTGAAAGTCACGACAAACAACGTGAGGCACAGGTTCGACGCCTAGATGGCAACACAGATCAGTCGCACACTGCACAGCAAGAGGGCGAAGCTGAGGAGGGCCAGTCAGGAAGAGCCAATTGGCACAGACAGTGGATTGGAATTCGCACAAAATCCAGTGCTGGTCCCAGAGCAAAAGCCCAATGGCTTTCTGAGAGATGGGCAGAGGAGTGCACAGTTCATTGAAGGTCGAAACACCTTGCTCAGTCCACTGCATGGGCGGAAGGTACACCGTGCGCGGATCGGCTTCACGAAGAAAGTCCAAGACATAATCAGCGGTGTCGGAATATAGCCACCCAGGATGGCGGTCAAAGAGTTCGAGCCTTTGCTGAACCCGCAGCTGGGAGATGACGCTGCCCGCCGAGGATGGCTGGTGGTGCACAGCGGCAGGAGTATCAACTTCAGAGATTGCCCCTCCAACACGTCTTTCAGTGGGAAATCTATTCTGGATGATTCTCACTAGAAAGTCCAATGCAGCCGAAGACGCAAAGTGCAGGAGGTCGGTGTTTCCATTAGCTTCCCACATGGCAGTCTCTACGGCTTGAACTCGAGCAACGATTTCACGGTAGGGGTGCACGCGAAGAGCAGCACGCCACGGCTGACTCAGCGGAGGAATCTGACATTGGAAGCGTCGAAAGAGTGTGTGGAGTAAAGCCCAACCACAAAGACCTGGAGCAGCGCCAAAGTGCATAGCAGAGGTATTGAGCACAAGGTCATGGATGTTGAACAATTGACACACTGCTTCGACAATGTAGCGTGAATCAGGCACAGCATCAAGGGGCCCAATGGTTTGAATGGACACTTCCCATGCATGCATGTGAATCTCGCACAAAATCCAATGTTCCCTCCACAGAACGAAAAGAAACAATTGGCTGAAAGTTTCATGCAAGCATTCAAGGTCAGCCAAGAAGCGCAGGTTCCAACGATCAGAATCCCACACAGCTGGTGGGCAAAAGCACACATGAGAGTACTGCCAGCGGAGGACATCCAGCGTGTGGTCAAGAAGGTCAGATGAAAGCCAGCCAGGCTGAACAAGGCACTCAAGTAAGCGGCTCTGGATACGGTGGAGCGGATGGTGCTGCTGCACAGGTGGAGGTGCCACGCCCACAACTTGGATGGGTGCTGGCGGCTGCAGCTGCTGGGTGTCAGCTGTCGTGTTCGTGTCTTCAGGTGGTGAGGGCTCAGCAGGTGTCGTGCTAACGGCAGTGACCGTTTGTGGTGTGAACTCAGCAACCAGCGGTATGTTGACTGCGGAGGATGTGTCAGTGGCTGTCGCCGCCAGGTTGACAAGGAAGTTGGTACGAAGAGTGGTGGCAAAAATGACCAGGTCTTCATTGGCTCCAGCACGACGCCAGTCTTCCTGTCCTGATTCCCACGCTTCACGAATTTCAGCTCGGCGGAACGCAGGCAGTGCATTGAAGAGATCAAAGTAGTCTGGAAGCTGACGCAGAGCACCACACAAAACATAGTAGCGCTGAAGCAGGAACCAACCACAGAGATGCACAGGAGCTTGAGCAGGGTGGATGTGCTGTTGCACCCTGTGAGGAGCAAGATCAATGCATCGGCACATCATGAGGAGAGCACGCTGAGCAAACTGAGCACCAAGGCCAAAAACATGAACCTGTGTGTGCCGACCAATCCGGTTGACTTCAACAGCAGCCCAGTGGTTGTCCACGAGTACAGCAATGACTGTTCGTCCGCTCTCTGCAAACCGTGGTTCTCCATAGAGCTCATCGTTGAACTCTTGCTCATTGGTTCTCCAGCACAAAAGGTTGAACTCTGCAATCGTTTCCGGGAAGCGAGTATGCAACCACATCATGGCAGCATGAATTTCATCGGACGCTGCCCAGCCGTGGGTGTTGATGCTGAAGAAGACACGAGCAGTGAAGTTGGCTCCTCGTGGAAGAGTCTCGGGGCTGCGAGTCCATCTGTGGTGTCCACCTGCCACAACAGTCATTGGCACTGGTTCAATCAACAGCCAATCTCCATTCGCAAGACGAAGTTGTTCAGTCGAGCAAGCTTGATTGTTGTGGTAAGCAATACGGAATGCTCCCTGGGTTGTGGTGACCAGGGTGGTCTTGGGAAGTGTCTTGTGCACAATGTGGGCTCGCACCCAGACTTCAGTCTGCAACTTCTGGAATACGACAAGAGCATCATTGCTGTGATTGCGTGGCCTCACTGTGAAGAGAGGTCCTGGGGCAATCCTGGGAACGGCAAATGGGCTCTGGTAGATGGCAAATTGGTTGCTGCCATAGTGTGTGGCTAGCTGCTCTTGAAGGTCAGCTGCTGGAACTGTGGCATCAAGTTTGAGCGTGAGAACTCCAAGAGTATTCTCCCAGAGAAGGGAGACCAATTGCTTGTTGGAACTTTCATTGTCTTTCCACGTGGCATTGAAGTCCAAGAAATGAAGCATCTCCTGGAAGAGTTCCTGGGAAGGAACTTGCGGTGGTACAGTCTCCAAGACAAGAGTCAATGGCTCCTCGACACAAGGAGAAAAGGGCACAGTGGGAGAAATGTCAGCAGGAGGGTCAGCACGCTCCAGATTTGCTTCCGCTGGACTAGCAGGTCGAATCCAGAGAAGCGGGAAGGTCCACAAGAGGCATTCAACCTGCGACGTCAGAGCAAGTGCCTCCAGGACCGGGATGTCCTGAAGGGTCTGGCCTTCCAAGGTGCGAAACTGCAGTGCATCAGGGCATATCCCTTTGGTGAACATGGCAAGAATGAACACCGTGACGAGAGTAGCTGCTTTCGGCACTCGAATGCTCCACACATGGTGGGTGGGCACGTGCACAAGAACAATCTGAACTCCATGTCCTTCACAAGGCACAATTGGAGCGACAAGGCATGGATACAGCAATGTCCTGAACTCGTGTGATCGTTAGCCAGTCTTCAAAGACCTGAACCAATGCATTCTTACTGGTGAGTCTGTCATTCCACGCTTGTCTGACGAGCATGGTCGGGGAGACATCAAGGCCGAACAAGGCAGCAAATCCAACCGCCAAGCAAAGGGTTGCCTGAGATTGTGAAATAGCATTACCAAGTATATGGAAGGCAAACGAAGCGTCACTCGGCAGAGTGATTGTCCCTGTAGTACCGAAAAGAGGCACAAACCGAGTGGGGCACATGAAGGGTGGTTTTCACTCTCTTTGCTGGTGGAAGCAACCCAGGGTTACCATACATCCCCAAAGCTTCGGAATCCAACCTGAGCTGGTCACTGAAGGATCCTGGCACCCAAAAGGTGTTGAGGGCGTCATTCCATGGAACCAAGGGCGGTGCACGAAGCTCAAAAACCATCTCATGAGGTTGGAGGCCCAAATCAATGCGGGCCCAGACTGCGAGCCACCTAGACCTATGGTTATGCGAGAGCTGATGTTGGTGCACAATCTGCTGCCAAACTTTATGGTAGCCTATAAGATTCAACAAAGCTTCCAAAATGGGGAAGTGCTCATGATAAACAGTTGAATCCGCTCCTTCCAAGAAAAGAAGAAGCGGTTGCTGAATCTCGGCCAGCGTGATCATTTCGATCATTGCATAGCCACTGCTACAATTGAGTCCTTGCTGGCGTCCTCCTTGCGACCAGGAGATACAAGGAGGAGAGGCACTTGTAACACTATTGTATCGATGTGGCCATGCATTGAGCAAGGAGGTATCATCAACTCCCGTGCAAATACCAGTCTGCAGGTTCATGTTGGCAAGCGTGGAAGGGGTCCTCCCGGTGCTGTGTGGCACCCCATGTTGTCGGCTCCAGACCTGCATGATGCGTTCATCATGATCAACATGTAGCTCATGGGCAATTGGAAGGGCAGGTACAGCATCAGCCAGCCAATGAGCAGCACGAGTCCAACCACCATAAGCACCAGCAAAAAGATGCAAAACATTCAGCGGTTCCGTAGGCTTGAATTGAGGTCGGAACACGATGACCGTGTCAGCCCCCAAGGAAATAGTCTCCCACTGATTGTCAACAATCTGGCTTCCAACACAGGTAATGTGATCGCCCACAGAAGGAAACACAGCTCTTCGTCCCAGCTCCGGTACAGCCACCCTGATCTTCGAACCCTTCGGTGAAGGCACAACGAACCCTCGGCCTGGGTTGAATTCAAACGGTTCGACTTCGAGAGCAGCTTCGGTCGCAAGGGCCACCATTCCAGAAATGACCACCTTCCCACCAGGCCTAAGCAGGTGAGCCGTTGCCCGGCGGTCCTGGAAGAAGCTCTTGATTCTCCCTCTCCATGGCTCGTCGATCATCCGCTCGACGGCCACATGCCAGCGCTCCAATCCCACAACCATGGCGCGCCAAGGCACGAGTTGCCACCGAGGTCTCAGGCGGGTCGGTCCTGAGACCTCTGTGGACGCTGGACCCTCCCTGCGAAGGGAGCAGCCCAGCCGCGGGAACCCGGTGTGCCCAAAGGCGAAAGGCTTTGGGCCTAGACGCCTGGATTGAACGACCTCTTCATATGGGGGGTTCTTAATCAAGAGTCTACATTGTTGGGGAGGTTTACGCAGTACGTTAGCAGAATAGGGTAATAGGGCACACTTGAATCCATAAAATTGAGCCTAGCTACTGTATAGGTTTGACCTGTCGAAGCTCTGTTGATATCACTTGCGATCAACTCTGTGATGCTAAATCTTACGAAATTCTGCGGGTTCTGCAGGTGAATCAGAGACTTGTAGGCCGATTTTTGTTTGCTTGCCCGTCCAGCTCCCTAGTCTGAACAGGGTCCTCTGAAACACTGAAACACATGGGTGCTGAGAGGACATTGCCCAGTGGAAGGATGGCAATTGGCACTGGCTCTTCGAAGGCGCACCAATTCGACAGTGCGTGCAAATGCGGCCGTATGTGGCTGGAAGGAGGCTAGATGACCAGACTTCCAGTTGAGGGTGCTGCGGCCTTTTACTTCGGTCGGTCTACTTAGATCCCCAGATCTTCGGCACCTCATCTTTCGGCAGGGCAGGGCAGCGAAGACTCCCCGACGCAGCGCAGACTCCGCCCCCGGAAGTCGCTGCTCGGCCCGTGTGACCGTCGGGGGACCATCGCGCCGTGCAGGTGGTGGAGCGCGACTGGTGAGACGTTTGCCGCAGCTCTATGAGGCTGCGCCGGTGGAAGAGATGCGCTTGGAAGTGACCCGGCCACGGAAAGCGGTGGGTGGGGGTGGGAGGAAGAACATGGAAGAACTGGTGCTCTTCTAGAAAATATAGTTTTTAAATATGGTGGCCCCAAATTGACAGAAACAGAGAAATCTCTTTCGAACATGTCTTAAAATCATGTCTCAAAGGAAGTCACTAAAAATTATCTCCGCAACAGATGAATTAATGTTCTAACAATCCCTATAGCACTAGCACATCGACCGTTCATATTCGAGCATGGAATCAACAAGCACACAGCTTCGAAGACTTCCACATCTCACACCTCTCCCCCATTCTGGTCACACCTCTCGCCCCTTCTTTCGAACACGTGATCACGCGACCGGCGCGTGTTACCCTTCATCGTCGTCTTAGCCGCCCTTTGGAAGGCACGCTCTGCAGACGGCACCTTGGTGCCTTTCACCTGTCTACGCCCTCGCAACTGCGGAGAGGCGCCCCCAACCTTGGTCTATGCCTATGGAGGCGGGACGGGACCGGGCAGTCGGAAGGAGAAGCATGTGGAAGCTATGTGGGTTTGTGGCAGAAGGGAAAGAAAGACTATGGGAATTCTGGTGGAAGATCGAAATATCAAACCTTTTTATATGAAGTGACAGGCTGTGCTTTTTAGTAAGGGTCCAAGGATACTCATACCGTACCCACTTAAAACATCTTAAAACTGATTAGCATTAATTAACATAAAAAGCTTGTGGTGCTTGCGAAGCCTTAAACATGAGGTGCACTATTGGCATTTCATGAACACCCAAGATCAAAGTCACCAATGCAAGCACTCTAAGTGCCGCTCCCAATTCAGCAATCATCCTCAACGTCTCCAATGTATTTTCCACGAAGAAACGAAGTCGACTCATCCAGCTTCCACGGAGCACCAAACTTGACCTCTCACTCCATCTATCCGGAGTTCGCCACTCTAATGGTGCGCGCCAAGCTGCGCGCCAAGCTGCGCGGAACGTGGTCAGGTTTTGGCATTCCCTTGTTGCCCAACTACAATGCGAGCATCGGAGCTGCCTGGTTGGAACGTGGCGGCCAGTACATCGAGGCCGGAGTCGGAGACAGAGATCCGTGGGGATTTTCATACCATGCTTACTCCAATCAAATCCGGAAATTCGGATGTCTTGACATGTTGGACCCCTAAACCATCCTAAACCGTTACCCTATCCTTCAAGCCCCAACCTCAACCCTCTGGTTGTTTGGCGTCTAGGAACGCGAGTTCCCCCTCCACATGGCCCAGGCCAACCTCCGCGGCGGCGGCGAGTTCGGCCCCGCCTGGGAGCGCGCGGGGCGCGGGGCGCTGGGGCGGCTCAAGGTCTATGAGGCGGCGGGGAGGGCACAGAGAGGGCGTTTGGAGGGGTGGCCCGGGGTGGAGGGCTGTAGAGTTCAGAAGAGGATGAAAAAGAGACGTGACATGGTCATGGAATAATATGGAATATAAGCTGGAGGCTATGTGGTATGGCCACCTGGTGCGGCTTGGCTGGTCGAGTTGTTATTTGTTCTTTCAAGGGGGGTCGAACTGGGAGGCTGTAATACACACCCACACCCACTCAGGATTTGCCATTACTGGATTCTAAGCTGCATGCCACGATCTGACAAGGACATATTCCACCACAGCAAGTTTATTTGATGAATCTCCAAAGACTGACTCAACCATGTTTTCGAGGTTTAGGCTTTGGTCCTGCATTGCATGTTAACAGTGACTGACTTATCATGTCAATTACATGTTAGACAGATCCTTGTTTGTTTGCATGGCCCCCTTCAGTCAGTCAGGGCCCGGACGACTTGCCCGCCCGCGGCTGGCCCAGGACTTGGAGGCGGTCGCTGATGAACTGGTGGCCCGAGGGTTGGCAGCACCAGGAGGGGGGTGCGGACGTTGGGCCTTTGGGGACAGCTTTAAAGGAGGGGTCGGAGTTTTTGAGACTGATACATGGGATAATCTGTCCAGTTGTTGTTTGCTAAGACCAGGCCACAGGGATCAAGACCCTTTTGGAAGAGCTTGCGAAACTCTGGAAGACCACTCTTGGAAGGATTGAACATACATTCAGGAGTTGAAACAGTTCAAGCACCAAAATTGCACACTGGAATTTACTAAGCATTGGCTTGATCAGTCAAATCACTATTGCACGACAATGATTTTAAGAATGCATCCTTTATAAACACATCCCAACAATGCCACACCCGAAACCTTGGAACCCACCTCGACCCCTCACCTCCACCTCCCACGTCTCCCGCGTCTCCTGCCCCGGTCCGTGTCGTGGCGCCCGAGGAGACCTCGCCTTGATGGGCCGTTCCAATGGCGGGCTCCTGGTGGCCAACGCGCTCGTGCGCGAGGTGCGCGGTGCGCGCGGTGCGCGGCGCTTCCGCGCCTTCGTGGCGGAGGCGGCCGGGCGGGTTTTCGGGGGGTGGATCGATGGAGGAGGGAGGATGGAGACCTGGGGGAAGGAATGAAACGGACATGACAGGATTTCAAGAGGTTCCAACCATCAACCATACAATGTAGAGACCACCTTTTAAGTTGGTGCAGTCTTGAGTGAAACTGTTCATGACGCAGGACATGGGAAAGATTCGCATCCGCAGCCGGTGAGACATGGCGACCGAAGAAGTGAACGGTAGACAGACCGCCGTCGACCGTCGATCCGCGACGTAAGACGGTTCTGGAGCCACCTGCCTCGTCGGGGGATGACAAGGACCGAGCCCTTGGTCTCTGACCGCAGATGAGGTCGACTCGACATGACCTGGATGTCGTTTCCTTGGGGCATGGCCGAGTCGACTCCCAGTGGTTGAAAAGGGGTCAAGATGTGCCATGATAGTCGTGTCTGGAGACTGGAATATGGTTTCCTTGCAGGTGCCGCTGACGGACATGAGGCACTACCATACCTGGCTGGCAGGGCATAGCTGGCTGGAGGAATATGGAGATCCAGAGCAGAAGTGGGAGGAGTTGAGGCCAGCAGCACGTGAAGCAGCTGTTCATGTACTTGTATGTATTGAAGATCGAATATGTTTTGTTAGTGAAGGCTCTCGCAAGTTTCTTCCCTTTGTTTTGTTTGTTCTTCTTTCATCATCTCTTCATGTTATATTTTCATCAGTGCAACAAGCCTGTTGTTTCTCTGTTTTGTTCAACAATAATATGTTTTTTTCTCCTGATTTATAACAATCCCAAACGACTTTACCCTAGACCCATTCGTAGTCGAACCTCTTTCGCTGAAAGGTGCAAGCTCGCACCTAGCTTTCAAGATCTGGGTTTCTGTCGCTCCCCACGTTTGATCCGAAACAAAGAGCTTGCTCATTTGAGTCCCATTCCTACAGACCCGTCGTTGGGCGCCGGCCGGCACAGTGCATTCGCGGTTTTGAGGCAGATCTCTGCATATCACCTGGCTCAAGAGCTTCAGGCGAGAGAGTCAGAGGAGATCTGCAGCAACACTGTGTTGTCAGATGATCTGAGAGGTGATGACCTATGACTCCAGAGTTTTTTGGACCCTGCCAGGGGGCAAGCCAATTGGAGGAAAACTAGTTGTTTGTCATGCAGAAACCCTATTCAGCTTGGTAGATGTGTGGGCACACCATGTATCAACTAGTTTCAGGCCTTGGTCAGTTCCTGAAATGACGAAACTTGGCTTGAATGTCAATAGACCGAACCTGTAGAAACTGAATACACTCAGCTCCGTGCAAAGCTGACTGACCCTTTTCTCCAGAGATCTGTCGTTGTGAAAGGGCTTGCGCCACTCCCATCCGCCATTGGATGCAACAAGACCAGAGGTCCTTTTGGCTTCAGCGAAATCCACCCGCAAAACCATGGCGAAACGAGCTAGCCATCACCCTCCATCCGTCGCGCATCGTCGTGAAGTCAAGCAGCAATCACTGGAGAAAGACCCGTTCGCCGCCGTGACCGACCTCGGGGTGTCTCGACCGACCTCGAGATGGAACAGGTTTTTGGGGGGTTCTCCTTCGGACTCTCTAAACGATGTGACCTAGTACTGCAGAGATGGAAAGAACGAGCAGTATGGCGGAGCGTGGACTGGGCTGGCGGGTGGTTGTTCCAACCAAAATCCATGGATCTCTCCTGCAATGGAATCTGAAGGATCCACGTGCTCTTCGTGTTCTCTTTACCACCTCCACTCGAGATGATCGAGTGCATCCGTCCCTCGGCGCGGTGGTTTTGCGAACCGCGGGTTACGGGTGACTGAGCCGTCTAACGGTATGTGTGTCTTTACGCCACACCCACCAGGCACCCCTCAAAAAGCGCTTCCATCTATATAGTGGGTGCCAAGATATTATGATAAGAGATTTTATGTACTTATAGATAAATACATGTTGGACCAAAAGCTGTTTTGAATATTTGGACATCCCTCCTTGAGGTTGGTGAAACAGGCGTGGCCAAGGAAGTATCAATCCACTATAATCCACTCCCTATAAGACTCCTTTCTGTGGGAAATCTTTCCCAAAGCTTTACCACTGGGGCCGCGCTCTTCTCTCTCCGCGCCTTTCCGGTCAGATGTCCATCGAGGTGCCACGCGCGGAAGATGGTGAAGCTTCTCCAAAGCTTGCAGCTCCCGAACCTCCAGACCTTTCTCTATGTGCCTTAGACGTGCTTTCGGGAGACATGTGAAGGGAGACACGCCAGACCTCATCCTTTCTCTATGTGCCTTAAAGGAAGACATGTGAAGCGGCCGGTGGGTCAAAACGACTCAGACCTAACCAATTCCCCCAAAAGTCCACAAGGGTGTGTGATCACTGTCGATTTGGGGGTCGGACCAAGCACAAGGTGGAGATGCCGTTCTGCTCCGTAGGACTTATCCATTAGGCCATGGGAGCTACGATGGCCTCCAAGCCATGCAGCAAGAGCAGTAGCTCAGTAGCCATGTGACCCATCATGCAAGAGCGCGGTGGCTGCACTGCTCCCACTTGTGGAGCTTATTCAGGGGTAACCAGCCACCATGTAGCAGCACAACAACTGCAGAAGTTCCACCAGCGATGCGCGTTTTAGTAACCAGTACTGCATGCGTGCACCTCGAGGCAACGCAAAACAGACGTATTATCAGTACCCCCTTGCGGTGCCTGACCCCCCCCGGGGGGTAAGGGAGTAGTGATGACGCATTATGCAATTGCAACTATTAATGTGTTTGAAGAGCAAAATCTCCCATCAAGGAAACCTTTGATGGAGTATGAACGTTTTGAGCCCCATACTGTATAGTGATCGCCTTGTTCTTCCTCAAAACGGTTTTGGTTGGGGACGCCCACTGCTAGACCTGGGACCTTCTCCAGGAAAGTCAAGAGGGAGGCCATGGCGGTGCAGCCTCCATCGGTGAGCGGGCCCTTCTTCGGACCTTGGAGTGCCCGCGTGAAACTTCGGTTTTTTGTGGCTGGCCGATGGCCATTGGTTTGTTCTTGTGGAACAATGTGACTCTTGTCCAATTGCGTTGGCGCAGAAAAACACGAAACACTTCGGACGAAACGAATCGAAACGAACCATCCAGACAGGTACGAATTCTTGTGGCAGAGCCTTACGAGCTGAAGCCAACCTTGCACAGTCTAACACGGAGGTGTTGTCAAGATTTGCTTTGATTTTTATTTCAGAGGACAAGCAGCCAAAGATGCGCCCCTTCTGGAAGATCAAAAAAGATCATGCGAGGCTGCTCCACATGGAACTTGAGGCTTGTTGAAACACGAGTTTGAAGATCAACATGAGACTGGTTGGCAGCAACTGGATGCGAAAAACACACATCTCCACCCCTGCAGTCACTGGAACCAGCGGCTAGCTAGCACTGTTGCGGTTCGGCGTTTCTCCCACACACCGTGCCGAGACGATGGGCGGGACAACCGAACAAACCAATGTCAATCACCCCCTGGCCTGATCGGTCAAGATGCATTGAGGCCAGTCGTTTGGCGGATTCGACGGGGATGGGGAAACCACTGCCTAAGGACGACCCGGATTCCTCTCGTTGCGCGGATAGTGGTCGGAGTCTGGGTGGTGAAACTGCACTGCCTAGGCTGTGCCACTACCGGACTCGGATTCCTGAGGGGTTTGGGTGGTGAAACTGCATCTGAAGGCACTTTGGTTCAGCCATGGGGGGCGACTCTGATCTGGGCGGTGAAGCCCAACCTGTGACTGGGACGAGACCGAGTGGGGGGGAGACCGAGTGACAGGGATTCCTGGTGGTGGGACAACGAGTGGGGAGAGTTCATGGCATGGTGGAGAGCCACTCTCTCTGAGCCACAGATGTCAATATGCGGGGGTGTTCATTGGTCTGTGAGAAGGGGTCTCCTTAAGATACTAAGTGTAAACATGATTGAATGAATCAAACTCAAAGTATAACTTAAGTAAGCATGGCGGAAGCTGTCCTTTCCAGAAGAAGCTGCTCCGGTCAGGCGGATGAAAGTGGTTTCCCATGCCATGGCTTCTCAGACTTCCAAAGCACATCAGTTTTCCAAGCCCATTGGCCTTGGAACGTCCTACGACATGGTACTGTACATATGACTGAGTCTGAGATGAAGTATATAAAGAGACGAGGTCAATCAGAGATGAACACATTCGGATCACTTCCTTCTCCGGAGATTCGACCCCTTGGACCTGAAGTCCTGCGGTGTCCGACGTGTCCGCACGCCGATCTCGCCTCGCGTGTCCGAGGCGACCTCCAGCTCGGAGCATGTCAGGCCAGTGTTCGACCAGAGTCTTACCAACGACCTCGCGACCCGGGAGGGAAGGTGGTGGTGTCAACAGATGTCGTGTCACGAAAACGCACGGTGGCATCGTGAGGTGGTGAGGTTAGTGGCACTCAAAGCCAAAGGGTTCAACTGGGAAACCTACCCAGTCAGTGAAGTAACCTTTTACATCTTTGGGTGATTTGCTTCCCCACTAAAGACATGGAAAAAGGTCAACATCATCCATTTTCCATCATGTTCCAGCCAAAACCGGAGCGGGGGTCAGGAAATCATCCAATCAGACTTGGAATTTCAGAGTCACTTTTGCGTTCGCTCTTAGAGAAAATAGAAGAGTTGGACACCATCAGCACAATCTTTCAAAACTTGAAAAGTTGGTATAAAGGCAGGCTCCTGCCGGCACTGTAAATGGTTGTTTGTTTGTTGATGTTGTTGTTGTTGTTGTTGTTGTTAAGCCTCTGCCAGCCAAGCACTGAATAGAATGGTGCTGGGTGCGACGGCCGCCCATGGCGCCGCGGAGACAAGCCGCTGCTGAGCGGCATTGCAGCTGGCCTTCCTCCTGGTTTCTTCCAGCTGGCCTCGCTCTCTCGCTCTGGTTGTCTCTCGAGTCTGCACCCCTGATCCCAAGCGGATTGGCTGGTCTATGGTCCCAAGTCCATAGATTGCACTCAATAAGATATCATCCCCCTGATCATTCCATGCACTTGAGTGTCAATAGAGGTGAGGGTTGGAGGTCTGCCAGATGGCCTCCTGGAGTTGAGGAGTACCCGGACTTTCCTAACATCCATCCCTCAACGAAATATACTGGCCTCATGCCCCACAGTGCCTCCCGAGGCAACAAAGCCAACTTCAAACGTAGCTATAAAAGAGCATGCACTAGAGCAGGCCTCCATGGCCACACTTGGTATCGTGGAAAGCTCATGACCTGCCAACAGCTGCAATGCACACCCCCTTCGATGTGCCCACGTCCGCTGTTCGAGATCGACTCGGCCGTTCACCATCCGCCACAGCTCAGGAAAAGACTAACTATCTTTTCATGGAATCCATCGGGACTTGCACGTCACCGCCTGAGCGAGCTCCTGCAGTGGCTGCACGCTCAACCCGTGCAAGTGGTGGTGCTTCAGGAATCCAGATGGCATCAAAGCTGGGAGGGTCGGGAAGGAGACTGGCACTTGATAGCCAGCAGTGGTCAACCGCGAAACGCCACGGGTCTTGTTGTCCTCATACGTAAGTCCCTGTGTTCGGCTAATGACATCACTTGGAGGGAAGTGATTGCTGGTCGTCTCATCCATGTTCGATTGCACTTGCCCTCCAGGCCATTTGACATCGTAGGTGCTTATCAAACGACCTTCAATGGGACTGCCGACTGTCTTCAAGCCCGTGCCAAATGGTGTGCTGAATTACATCAGTTACTAATGGATATTCCCACCCGTAATAATTTAGCCGTCGTCGGTGACTATAACACGACCCTGCCGAGCTGTCCACCACATGTCGGGACACAGCATTTCGTCCACAATGGAGTCAAAGGCTCTGGTACTTACCATTCTGATCACGCCCGGCTGCTTGAGGTGATCCAAGATCACAATCTGGTTGCGCTCAATTGCTGGCGGCCTGATGCGGGCCCCACCTTTGTTTCGAACCATGGCACTGGATCCAGGATTGATTATATCCTCACCAGGGCCAGACAGGCGGATCGAACCTCGAAGGATGTCACGCCACTGACTGACTTTCCTTTGCTAGGCACTCATGGAATGGGGCATCGACCGCTCCTTTGCTCTATCATGCAAACATGGACGACCGCTAGCTCCCCAGCTGTGAACAGAGTCACCTTTGAACACAGAACCAAATGCCGAATCGCTAAATACACCAACCCCGCTAAATGGAAAACTTTTGTTGACGGTAATCGTGACATCATGGAAACACACTGGCCTGTTGACGGAGACTTTGACCACATGCATTCATTGCTCCTCGGTCGCTTCAGGTCCCTGTTCACCTCCGGCAGTGTGATCCCATCGTCCGCAGCTACCGACGTCATTCAACACAAGTGGCAAGTGTTTCAGGAGATTCGTCAACTTTCACGTCATGACTGCACTTGTAAACGCATTTTTCAGGGTTGGAGCCTTCTAGCCAAACATACCCAACTTCAAAGGACTCATGCGGAACACGCACGAGTTGCACGACAGATTCGATTTGATGCATTGATCGAAGAGGCCAAAACAGCTGCTGACCATCACAACATGTTTGCTCTTCATCAAGTCATCCATAAACTGACTCCCAAACAGCGCACGGCACAGGTTCGATTTCGAGATCCCACTGGTCGTATTCTTTCCCCGCTGGAGGAATTTGCCAACATCAAACAGTTTGTTCATGATTCATGGAAAGGCCTCCCACTCTCTTCTGAGCCCACGACGCCTCCAGGAGTCCCCTTTTCTGAGAGTGACCTTGTTGCTGCCCTGCGGTCTCTTAAGTTCATGAAATCCACTGCACCGGGCACCTGCCCTATTGCATGTGTTTCCAGCAACGCGACCACTGTGGCACGCCGACTGTTTGAATGTTTGGGAACTTGGTGGAGTACTAGTCCTCCTTTCATCCCCCAAGGGTGGAAAGATGGACACTTGTTCCTCTTACCCAAACCCAACAACCCCCCCAAGTGTGTGGAGAATCTTCGACCACTCGCACTCCAAGATCCAATCGGCACTGCAGTTATTGGATTGCTGACCAAAGTGGCCAGACAACCGGTGCTGTCCCGGCTATGCAGCCAACCGCAGTTTGCATATCTTCCACATCGAAGTACTCATGACTGTATTGCGCGAGCTGCTGCACACTGCACCATGGTTCGTGACCGGATTGCCGCTTCTCGTAGATCTGTGAGTGACACGTCTACCGTGGTTGGTGGCCTTACGATAAGCATTGATTTACAAAAAGCTTTTGATACCCTGCCTCGCGAACGCCTTTTTTCGGGTCTTTCTCAGCTTGGGGTCTCTCAAACATGTGTTCAATTGCTTACAACTTGGCACACTGATACTCGTTATCATATCAATCACAAAACCTACCATGCTGCTATTTCCACCATGCAGGGTGTACGCCAAGGCTGTAAGGCCGCCCCATTTTTGTGGGCGTGTGGTATGCACCAGCTTCTGCTCGAGCTTCAAAAGAGAACCTCTGAAGCATGGGTACACCGAGTGTTGACCCTGTTTGCTGACGACTTCTTACTCCAATGCTTCTTTTCTTCAGAGGATGAACTCAATCTGCACCTCCAGCACTGTGGAATCCTCTTTGATTTGTTGGAAGCGTTTGGTCTTCACATCAACGTGAGTAAGACCACTGTTCTTTATAGCTTCACGGGGAAACATGCCAAGAGGATCCAGACGAAGCTCTTCAAATTTCGTGCTGATGGGTGGTTTCTCCAACTACCAAGAGCCCATGGTGCGCAAACTTGGTTACGAACTGTCGCCGACGTTCAGTACCTGGGAGTTCGATTGTCGTACAAGTGTTTTGAACAACGCACCGTGGACCATCGTTTGACCATTGCACGCAGGGCGAATAAACGCCTCTACATGTGGCTGTACTCACGGAAGAAAGGCCTCGCTGCTCATCAGAAGCTCCAGCTATGGCAGAGCATTGTTCGCAGTACCATGTGTTATGGCATTTGGTCAGTTGGCTCCACCCTCACAGGGCTCAAGAAGCTGGTACAGATTCAGACCACCATGACCCGCATGATTTTTCACAGTCACTCGTTTGACACACACACTTCCCACAAGCAGTTCTTTTCTCAGCTTGACCTTGACCCGCCCGCGGTTTTCATGCACAAGGGGTGTCTCCGTCTTCTACAAGGACTTCAGATCCGGAAGCAGT